ACCAGTTGTGTTTAGAGTGTATAGAAGTATTTGTGGTTACCTGTTGCAGGAGCGCCACCACGACTTTTGATTGGTTGAAATTTGCACATGCTAAGCACATTAATAAGGCATGTGACTGGCTCTTGTCACTGATTTAAAACTAGTAATATGTATACATAACTTGACCATATTTAACCTTGAGCAGCCCATCAAATATTGTTTTGAGTTTGGCATCCAGACATCAATCCATTAAATCTGTAGTTTCCGATGCTGTTTATTACTACCCCCTGTATAAAGAACCAAATCACCCTTACCAGTGTAGTTGAATTTTGGGTTATTGATCTGCGTAACGTAAATCAGTCAACCATGGAGTTGCAACATAAAATCTTTGCTACAGTATCATCATTGTCAGACCAGGCCATATTTTCTTTGTTTCCTGAATAACTGCGAGAGTTGAGGTTAGATGACAGAAGTTGTTGAAATGATGCAATCAATACTTGTAGTATGGGACAAAGAATGTGCATGAATGTCTGTTAATGTCATTGCTGTGAATATTCATATGCAATTATATCATATTCTACTCACTGAAGAAATACATCACATTATTAACTTTGTTTATATTACTATTATAAATGTTGCATGCCTAATCCCTGATTTCCCATCTTTCAGTAACATAAAAATCATAAAAATATTGGTCCTGATCGATGGTTCATGCTGTCACATAAAGCAATTGTTGGACTGATTTCTAGCAGTGTATATATCAGTATGTTGGACATGATGTTTTATTTCATTTTACAGAAAGAACAAGATGTAGCTGTGAAGGAAACAGAAATAACAAGTCAAAAGGTAAAACTTCAATAATTTATACATGGTATTTATTTTCGGTGAATCACAAATGGTAGACTCTGTAGATTTCATGTCAAAATGAGAACACGCTTTGTTTGTTCATTTTGTGGTGATATCTTCAATTATCTAATTTTGATGAATATTTTTGTTAGTTTTGGTGAAAAGTGATATTTTTAAATTCTTGTTAAAAACAGCAAGTCCGATTGCGTTGATACTACATATATAGGTACTACATGTGGACCTCTCTCAGATTTGTTCATTTTGTGATGATATCTTTAATTCTCCAATTTTAGTGAATATTTTTGTAATTTTGGATAAAATGTGGTATTTTTGACTTCTTTTAAAAAACCGCATATCCAAGTGCTTTGATATTACATATATAGGTACTACATGTGGATCTCTCTCAGATTTGTTCATTTTGTGGTGATATCTTCAATTATCTAATTTTGATGAATATTTTTGTTATTTTTGGTGAAAAGTGATATTTTTGAATTCTTGTTGAGAACAGCAAATCTGATTGCTTTGATACAATGTACGATACATATTGTTCATTTTCTAATGATCCCTTCTGTTCTTTAATTGCAATGTGCATTGCTAACAATGGAGCTATATCAGGGGACAGGCTGCTTGTTATAGTTTTGAGACTTTTAGTCATTGATGTCAAAAGTACTGGGACCAATCGGATTACTTTGATTATGACATTCTTATCAGGTAGATGCATGACATGGAAGTGTCAGGATATACATGATTCTGATTTTGTTAATTTGTCACAAGGGCATGACTTGATTTTTCTCTTGGCTGTCATGGAGTTTTAATGAAATTTAATTGACTGGCGGCATGATGATGATGATATATATCATGTTCAAACGTGTGCCACGGAGCTGACTGACTAACTTGGTAAACAATCGCTATCAGTAGTTTTAATTGGTTCAGTGTTCATTCGTGTATAAAGACTAAACTGAGCCAGCATTGTTATCGGCCGCCATGTTTCTTTAAAATACTTGCAATGAGTGGAACTCCAGAGCGAGGCTGACATTGAGGCCATGCTTTTAAGGTGGCATTGTTCACCCATACTAAAACCATAGTATGAGATGCCATTCAAGATTTGCCATTTTAGAACGTCTTAGACTAAATCAGCATGGCACTGGCTTAGCTTGTTAGTCCCCGTTCGGACGAAGTCTGAAAACGGGGACTTATAATTCGGCCTCCGTCCGTGCATCTGTGCGTGCGTGTATCCATCCAGAGTCATATCTCAGAATTCCTTGGGCCAATTCCGTTTATGCTTTGCATGTGCCTAGTACTTTATGTGGGACATATGCACATGCAGTGGTTTAGCGACTCGATTCAAAATGGCCGACTGGCAGCCATCATGTTTTTTGAAAATGTTGTATTTTGGACATGTTTTGTCAGTTTTCATTCAAACTTGGTACATAGATTATACATGTTAGAATACATGTCCATGACGATTTATTTCACAATTGGATCAAAGATAGCCGATTGGCAGCCATCTTGTTTTTTGAATATGTTGTATTTTGGACATGCTTTGTCAGTTTTTATTCAAATTTAGTACATAGATCATACATGTTAGGATACATGTCCCCGACCGTCCGTGAGTTCCTGAGTCTTTCCATCCGTCCGTGTGTCCGTCCGTCAGTCTGTCCAGAGTCATATTTCAGAATCCTGTGGCCCGATTCCGTTCATTCTTTGCATGTGCCTAGTACCTTATGTGGTACATATGCACATGCAGTGGTTTAGCGATTCAATTCAAAATGGCCGACTGGCAGCCATCTTGTTTTTTGAAAATGTTGTATTTTGGACATGCTTTGTCAGTTGTCATTCAAACTTGGTACATAGATTATACATGTTAGGATACATGTCCATGACGATTTATTACGCAATTGGATCAAAGATGGTCGACTGGTAGGCATCTTGTTGTTGTTTTTTATGCGGTATCTTGGACGTGCTCTGTCAGTTTTCATTCAAATTTGGCACATACATGTACTTTATACATGTTAGGATGCATGTCCATGACAATTTGTTTCAAAATCTGGTCAAGGATGGCCGATTGACAGCCATCTGATTTTTTGGCCTTACTACTTCCACAATTTATGTACCATTTTCATTTGTATTTGGCACATACATCATAATCATAATCAGATCAAAGATGGCCGGATAACGACTGTTTTTATTTTTGGCCATATTACTACTACACGGAACACATGTTTTGATGTAAATAAACAATCTGTTGTATACGCCACTTGGAACTCAAGTTTCAAGGACACGCTCTCGAGAACCCCTCCGCTTTAATATGACAAGCTCAAAGAGAACTTTAAAAAATTTAACGGGGACTGTGTCATTTTCAATGACTTGTTCATACATGTTTCAACGCCGGCTTAACTATAAAGTGGGTCTCCAAACAGGCTTTTTGGCACATGTGTGAACACGGTATTACTGATGTATATGTTTATTTTTGGGGGATTTTTTAAACAGGAAGAAACACGAAAGCATCGTTTGCATTCACACACGTCTCTTCCGGGGAACCCCTCATTCCCAGCCACGGCCGAGGCTCAGGCTAGTTGCACAGGGTCTCCTCTGGGGCCTCGGGCACTGAATGCCAACGGGGATGCTGGCAGCCAAGCCGCCGATCTCGGGGCAGGGCACACATTGCAACCCCCCTACTTTCAGCCAGCCAGGGTTCGTCGCGCGGTAATGGTACAATGGTAATGAATTTCCCCTTGTATCCGGTCTCCACTGTGGGTTTTGACTCCCTTCTTACCGACCCACAGGCGGTGGGATCCAAAGCAACCCTGTCGGCACGTCTCTCCCTGTCTGTCCGAGTGCAGAGTGGGGCACATGGCGCGCAAATGGTGTTGATGGGCAGACATTGGTCACCCGGCTATGCGATTACAATCTTAAGCTTAATTAGAATAAATATTAGTGTTTATTTATTACTTCAGCCACAAAACAGATAGATCAAAGGAAATTGGTCAGTGATTCTATGAGTTAGTACATCCATTAGTACATGTACACTTTGAAGTACGGATTCTCTTTTTAGATATAGAAATCTGTACATGGAAAAGTACTTTTGAGATTGGAATAATTTGTTTATCAGACCTTGTGACTTTGCCTGGATGTTGTCTATATTTAGCCTCATACATGATACATTGACATTTACTTGTGATTCACTTTGCATACTACTCTCTGGATAACATGCTTTTTAAAAGCATTCTGATAATACATTAGAGGTATTACAAGACAGTAGTAATGAAGATGAAGGTCACCAGATTTCCAGGTCACTACAAGAGATAGAGGAGGTAGCTAGTTTGGTTTATTTTGATTGTCCTTTGAAAACTTGACCTCATATCTCCCATATCTTATTTCTCACATGTTGCATTGTTACAGTTGTAACAATGTAGCCTAAATTGTTTTATTTTAGTTACTTGTCAAGTTGTACACTAAAAAGAAACAGATTGTAATAGTATTAGTACTAAGTTATTCAAATTGATATGGCCATACCTTTAGACCATTTTTGTTAATTAGCGGTGTTGCTCTTGCTCTTGTAATCAAAATAGAACATTACTCTTGGTTCTGATTTTTAGTCCACTTGCCACTGTTCATCTCTCCAGTGATCTGAGGATAATACATGTAGTTGTTGCTATAACAACAAGTTGACATTTGAACTCAGTTATATTAGAGAAAATATATTTATGATTTTGCTTGCTCTAATGTGGAAACCACTTGTTTAGGAATGTGGATATTTGCAAGTTATTATCTAGCCACATTGTTATACTCTTGAGATATATTTGGTAATGATAGTTTTTTTGCTTCCTACTTTCTTATCTTTGGCTTCACATGTAAGGTAAAACAACTACAACAAGAACTAGAATTAAAACATAATTGGGCTAGGGCTGCTCTTAGAGAAACACTGGGCAAAGAGGTATAATTTTGCTTTATTTAATTTTCTACATTAATTCACACCAGTTTGCTGCACTCTGTTTTTGTATCTCAAATTCTATGTTTTTGTTTGTGACACATACGTGTGTATTTTGGTCATTATAATTGGTGTTTTTGTTGCCATTGTCACCTTATCCCAATTTGCTGTGTTGAATCCCTGTGTCTGGTTTCATAATATTTTTTACATAACTTTTGGTTGATGTTGTTGACAGTTGTCATGCATTAATCAAAGTTAATTTATAAATATCATTAGCTACTGTGGTGGATATCAGCTTTGTGTTAATTATTCATCTCTTTACTGCTACAAGAACAACCCTGGATTGGTTGAATTGTCAAATGGGAAAGTTTACATTTCTGATTTTTGTTTTCAGATGTCAAGTCTTGCTGTCCGTACTCGCTATTTCTGTTTCATCACTGGATTCATATTTGTTTCTATGTGTGAAAATTGTTACCATTCTGACTCTCAGAAAATAATTTGAATTTAATTTTAGATTAACTAGAATCAGAGACATTTCTATTGAGCAAAAAATCACACTACCAAGATGACCTGATAATAGGTCACATGTTGTTAGTACCTGGTAGTCTGAGATAATACAGTGTTTATTTATGATTATAGTACCCCAGTGAACCCTCTTGTACCCTCTGTATATTGTGTCATCTCACTGAAGGGAAGACTGGTTCTACTAGACTGTAATAAGCTGCATCTTAATAACACAGTTGGATACTAACTTTATCTGCTTGTCTTCCTCACAAAATGTCACATTACTTTTAACTAAATTCTTATATCATTAATTGCACAATTCCCATACATTGCACGTTTACATTTAAAGCTGCAGGAATCGTCTTCCTCCTCCTCGTCAGAAGATGCTGATGATGAAGATTCCTCTGAAAGTGGGACAGAGGAGATGGATCAGAGTCCTGTTATTAAAGTCACTCATCAGATAATAGATGATAGCACACCTAATGAGGTAGTGATAACACTGCATGTTACATGAGTTCACAGTTGTTATGAGCCTTGTACAATGAATCTGCTTGCACACAGCTTCAGAACATATTTATGACAATGTTTGACACTCATAACAGGGTACAGTTATGCTATGCATGTAGTTATAATGCTGTAGTTATGGTTTTGTTGTTTGCTGTCTTGTAATTGTCATCACACTGAGAGCACAGTTTTCATAATAAATGTAATTTTCAATTTTAGAATGCAGGCCATGGAGATGATTGTTCTTCATCATTGTTTTCCCATGATATCTGCTCTCTTAATTGAACATTCATTATTTTGGTGGCAATTTTGGTGGCAAAAACTCTTATTACCACTTCATGCAGTGCTTGTATTGCTGATATATTGTGTTCAAATTATTGCATTATTAATCTATTCTACTAACTTTTTATGTTCTCTCCACTTGATTTAATTGTAAATGACTGCATGTTATTTAAACAAATTATCCAACATAATGGTTTGTGTCCTGTTCTGTGTTGTATGTCTACCTGTCATGCTTTAACCTCTCCATTGCTAATCATATACACTGTTACCATGGTGATGTAGTATTCAATAAATGCATCCAGATAATTCATATGACATAGAGAATTTCAAACATTTTCACATCAATATGTGTTCATAGGGATATGCTTTTCAACTTTTTTTATGCTCTAAAGTTCAGATAACTACCGGTATATGCAAAGTTGCAACAGTGGTCTATGTCATTTTTCAGAAATTTACTTTATTTTGCAAAAGACAAATGTTCCTGAATATCATGATTTTTTTAGCAGTGAACATTTTAGTGTTATCCTTAAAGTTGCATTACCAGTAGTACTTTCTATTATTTGAAGAAAATTTCTCCTGTAAGCACCATAAGCATCATAACGCTTTATAAATATAAATAAAATATAAATTATAAATTTTATACAGTTCATGAGAAATTTTTATATATACAAATGTCTCTTGGTTAAAATTATGTTTGATTTGGTGATTAGATACTGTGACTTTGTTTCTTCTGTGCTCCAATATTTTAGAATTTGGTGCCAAATTAACTTATTTTATCATTTTTCATAGTAATTACAATAATCAATGGAAAGTGTTCAGCTTATAATACAAAGCTGGAATGTAATTTTAAGACAGCTAGCATATATAAATTCTATTAAATTGTGAAGTTTTATTAATTTGGGTTTAAATATAACTCTTTAAACACAGTCACCCCCCACACACATATTAATATAAGACTATTGCAGTGTATATATTACTGATCACTGTTAACATTGGACATCCAAAAACAATCAGCAAAATAAGGATGTGAATACTCATGATCAAATTATTTCAAAACTATGTGAACACTTCATATCAGAATCTAGGTCTTGTTTAAATTTTTAAATCATCTGAGTAATTCATCTTGTTTTATGTGTGTGTTTTTTTATAGATCAAAAAGAAAGCGTCGGAAGATGAATCAGAAGATGAGGATGAGGTAAGACATTTTCTTAACTCTCACTGAAACATTTAAATGTAGTTTTACAGATTGAAAATAATCATGACATTTCAGTCTCTGTATGGTAGACCTGATCATTATGACATGTACTAATGTAATAATTACACTTTTCAGGATGATGAAAGTGGTGTTTCTGATTTGGAAGATCTTGATCCAAAGGAAAAAAAGAAAAGAGAAAAGGAGAAAGAAAAGGAGAAAGAAAAGAAGGAACGAGAGAAGCGTGAGTCTTCATTCAAGTCTGTCAACTTGTTTCACCCCACATTGACTATTATTAGAGTCCTACAGCAAATTAAACACCATTCAGACCTGTGTGGATTGAATTGGAAATTTTCTATTTTGCAAAATGAAATATGTTTGTCTCTAAACCATGTGTTTCAGTCTGATGAACCAAACACACAATAGACATATATTTGAATTTTTATGTAGCAACAACTGTGATAACATTCAGAGTTACTTGTATACATTTCTAATATGATTATAAACCAATTAGGTCAAATGTTGTATTGTTTGAAAAAAATTTGTTCAAGCATTTGACATGCCATTTCTTAAACATACTTAATAACCAGTTAATTTATTTTTGGAACCATTAATGTGTTTATGATTATAGAGACACTATATTTTTTTTGAGGCATTTATTGTAGCTGTCCTCACACTTCTCAGCAGTAATTCAGCACCCATTTGTGATAGTATAATGGAGAAACAAAACCAGTACATTGCCATGATATAGTTTGCAGTATTAAAAACTGTAACGGTATATGCAACTTTAAAATGAAAGGCCACTTTGGCGATGACTTTTACTATCAGTATTAAGCAGGGACATTCAGATTGATCACAAACAATTATCAAAAAAATAAATTGTTTAGTCACCGAATTTTAAAAGATGGTCAGTCAGGGACGTCACATTCTCATGGGTTGTAATGTGGAAAAATAATACCTGGCTTTGTGTTTCTTTATGTTGCTGATACTGCATGATATGTGTAATAAACATGAATATGCACACTTTGTCATCTGAAGTCAATTGTTTTTTAGGTTGTAATTAATATATAATTAATTAATTACAGAGAAACAACTTGAAAAAGAGAGAAAGGAAAAGGAGAAAGCAGAGAAAGAAAGGTTGAAACAAGAGAAAGAAGAGGAGAAGAAACGGAAAAAAGAAGAAGAATTAAGAAAGAAAGAAGAAGAAAAAAAGAGAAAAGAGGAGGAAAAGAAGAAACGAGAAGAAGAGAAGAAGAAAATTGCTGCTGCGAAGAAAGCAAAAACAAAGACAAAGAAAAAAGAATTTGAAGATGAAGAAGAGTCAGACGATGAGGATGAGGAAGAGGAAGATGACGAGTCAGATGAGGAATCAGAAGAGGAAAAACCTAAAAAGATGATGAACCAAAAGAAGGGCAAAGAAGAAGCCAAAAAAGCAAAGGCCAAAGAAGAAACCAAAAAGAAAGAAGCAGCTAAAAAAAAGAAAAGAGTTCAGGAATCTGAATCCGAGGATGATGAAAGTGAAGAAGAAGGTAAGATTAGTTCCACATATATCATCATTCTGGTTGTTACGCACCACATTGTGATAGCAAAAACACAACACATAGTTATCTGAACACTTGCCTGAAGTAACCATCTGAACCCAGGTATATGGAGTGACATTGATACTAACTACTGCTGTTTTCATTAGTTCCCAAGCCTAAATCCAAGGATAAAAAAACCACAGATATATTTGGTAGAAGCAAGGCTGCTCCCAAAAAAATTGAAGAATCTGAAGATGATGATGATGATGATGAGTCAGAAGATGAAGAAGAAGTTTTAAATAAAAAGAAAGATAAAGAAAAGTCCACTCAGCAGGAATCACCTTCCAAGGTATGTTTACAGTGTACTGGATGATGCATAGTATAAACACATGCACTTGTATTGTTTTAAATTATTAGGGTTGTACAAACCCATTTGTTTACCTAATCATACCTACCAGAAAGTCCATGGAAATAATAAATTCCATTTATTACTTGTTAGGCAGAGTAGCACGCTCACTGGAGGTGGGGAAGCACCAACGGCTGAAATGTATATTTTTCGACACAAAAAAAAAGTTAAAAAAAATGAGAGAAATCTAAAACTACTCACTAACAAATAGTCTTGTCCCAGGATAAACCACTTAGGTGACTCTTCAGGGGCCGGGTGCCTTGAGAGTAGCCCTCCCAATTTAGAGAGGCTTACTAAAGCCGATTGACTGAACAATAAAAAAATCGGGCCCCAACAATTTTAATGTATCAAAAGCAGTATATTGCTGCAGTCCGAGAGCGCCAATCAAAACTAGCGGCATCAAGCAAAGTAGGCTGGTTTCGGCTGAAGACACTATCGTGCTAACGCTTTCGTGCATAGGGCCCCTTGGCGGTGCTGGCTGGGTCAAGGAACACTGTCTGACCTGTCACCACTGGACCCAACCTGTAGAGACCCTCCTGCATCGCTTGGAGGTCTCTCAGGTAATAGTTAATGAAGACATTCTGAGATCTCCAGAACCCTGCTCGAGCGAGGCCCCAGACATCAAAGCCAATGAGTTAGGTATCCCGCGCACCTCCTGTGCCTTCACCTGGTGGCGTTCCAAAGAAACCGATGAAGAAGCAGTTAAATTATACGCTTCCACGACCGTATCAACAATACACCGTGAAATGGTGATATTCGAAGCCCCGCCCATAACAGACAAACATGCGCTTCTCACTGCTCCTAGACACCTTGGTGCGGTCGCAGTACCAGCTCAGAGCTCGGACCAGCTCAGGCGTGGGATGACGATTGGGGTCACGCCCTGGGATTCGATTCTTGGCAAGAAAGCCCAGCTGAGTCTTCAAAATAACTGGTGAGTTCATAAAGGAGGCACATCCGTCACTAAAGGACAGTGCCCCTATCTCTAAGTGCCGCCTACCTGGCGCCAGAGGCAAAGGAAAAACAGTTATCATAGTGACATATTTCATGTCTGCCTTATCTATAGGCTCGAAGGGGGGTGTCGTAACGCCGATGGAACGACAAGGCCCAGTCAGGAGGGTTGGCTAGCCCCTTGGCGAGTACCCTCTTCGAGCAGAAAGATAGTTGTACCATAATAGAACTCGGAGCCAGTTTCAGTCCAGCAGATTCTGATAAAACTGGGAATAAAACAAGAATCCAAGAATTGTCAATATAGATTTTCCTTGATCAAATAAATATAGGAAAAAATCGACTACCCCACTAATAGAGGGACTAAGATGATCAATCTCCCTTCCGTCACACCAATGAGTGTACAGTCTCCATCTATATTCGTACAACCGTCTGGTGTCGTCCGACTGTGCCGAAGCGAGGAACTTGGACAACTCTGCAGAAAAGCCTTGCGCCTGCACGAGTTTGTTGATAGCCTCCTCTGGCAGGGATAACAGATCCGAAAGATTTGGCAGCTTCACAGGCGACTCGACTAGAAGTTCCAGCAACATTGGGAACCAGACCTTTGCTGGCAAATTGGGCGCCACCAAAGTCAGAAGTCTGGCATGATGTTATCAAGGAACTGGGAAGACCACTGAAAATCACAGAGGTACCTGGTAAACTTTGTGTGATACTAGGGGACCCGGAGTACGATTGGCCGATCAACTTTGTTTGCTCACTGATCAGAAACCACATATACTACTCAAAATGGAAGAAACAGAAACCTAACTATGCAAATTACTTACTTAAGCATCTTTTTCAAATTGAGAGTGTGTTCACCAAACAAAAAGAGAAAGAAATGTCACACAAAAAGAAGTCTTCCCTGATACCATTTTTAAAGTAACATCTTCATATGGATTAGAAGACAGGTGGGCTTGAGTCGTAACTTCTCCAACACTTGGTGCACTAGATGGAAGGGTGGAAAAGCGTAAGCGTCTATGTGACTCCAAGAGATTGATAGAGCGTCCATGGCGAAAGCGTTTGTCTCAGGGAGGAATGACACGTACGTCTTGAGCTTGGCAATACAGTGATTGGCAAACAGATCTATCCGGGGCCCATCAGAGTCGAAAAAGCCGGTCCACCACCCATTGGGGGATCTGCCTCTCGGTGTTCTAGAATCAAATACGTCTCGAGAGGGCGTCCGAGAAGGTGGTGAGCCGATAGCTTCACCTGGTTTTTCAGACACCGAAGGAGAATCTCCTCCGCTAGCTTTAACAATGTGGGGGAACACGTCCCCCATCCTTGTTGATGTATGACACTACTGAGGTGTTGTCTGTTCGAAGCAGGACTCTGTGATGGTGTGCGACTTCCTGAAAATGTTTTTCAGAGACAGTAGGACGGTCTGCAACTCCAACCAATTGATGTGGTGGCCCAAATATGCAGATGGCCAAGTCCCTTGGACCTGAAGATCCATCAGATGAGCTCCCCATCCCTGGAGCGACGCATCTGTAATGAGAGTCAGCGAGGGAGTCGTCGGATCTAGGGGTATACCCGTTTCCAAGTTCTGTGTGTCCTGCCACCAAAGGAGGGCCGCCGTTGCTTGATCCGACAGTTGAACCCTGAGCATCAAGTCCCACATGTGGACTCTGTAGTCCAGTAACAGTGTTGCTGCCAGGCTGCGTCATCGCGACATTCTCGCAAAATTCACAGCAATGACGCGTTATTTTACAAACCCTGGGCCACAGTTGACGCACTAAAATAGCGAGCCATGTCGCGCATTTTGCTTATCACTGGGTCATTGCCTTGGTATACCCAGTTATTTTCGTGATTGAGTCAATGTAAAGTAAACATTGCTGCGATTTTTT